AATCGTCCAAAGTTGATTTCAAAACTTTTCAACAATTTTTCGCTAATATCTCGAAAACTGAACCTTTCCGCGAAATTTGTATATGAACAAAATTGTTCAGAATCATGTCCGTGATAAGATATTAAAAGCGCACTAAAATCGAGAAAACTTTATTTCAATAGTTGCCGGTTTTTTTTGCAATAACAATACTTTGCAATTAAAAAATGCAAAATTTTTTGATAATGGTACCAATGGGGAGTCAGAACCTAACAGATGCAAAAGGTTTCATTCCGATCGGTCCATCCAGCTAGGCGTAATCGGCGGGCACACATAGAAAAAAAAAAAAAAATATACTGATCGAATTGAGTAACCTCCTCCTTTTTCGAAGTCGGTTAAAAATTATGTAATTGCTCTTACAGGTGAACGATACGATTTTGTCTTAAATGCTAATCAACCAAAGGGTGCCTATTGGATACAACTTCGTGGAATAGGAGAATGTGATGAAATTAAATTGCAAGAATCGGCTATATTGAGTTATGTGGGTGGATCTGCTGTTCCAGCTACAAAGGAGCCTACTTACTCGTCTCCTCTTTATGAAGGACGCGTAAGCTCGTTTTCCTCTTTTATAAACTTTTAGATAAAAAGTTCAAAAACATTGCAGAACTTATATGTAACATCACCAAATGTCGAACAAATGCTTTTAAAAAATGATTAAATTAAATGAAATTCTCGATTAAGAATATTTAAAAACAATTAATTCAGGGTGTCTTAGCTAACTTAGACATTTCAAATAATTACTAAATAGCACACCTTAACAATACATAAAATTAATACATAAAATTGAAGTCATATACATATATATCCAATAATTTTAAAATGAATTGATCTATTGTTTGTAACATGAATATACAGTATCAAATTTTGAGTGTAAATTGTACTTTGCATAAATCCAATCCCCTTTGTTCTTATTAATCTTAGTTCTTGACTTAAAATTATGGTCAATATTCTTTAATTATCAAGCAAATAATTTTTAATATTCAGTTCATTTCATTAAAAAAAAGAAATAAGCTGATCTAAAATTAAAACAAGTTGAGCTGAAACAATTCTTCAAAACACCTTTGATGGTATTTCTAGTATATTGCATACATTAAAATTTTTATTAAGTAGAATTATTTGAGGTGATCAAGTTACAGCACCCTAAATAACAAAATATTCTTATTATGTAAGATAACTGTGACAATAAAAATCAATCTAACTGTTTTAATATAGTCACTTGTAGTCACTTATATAGTCATTTTTAAAAATCATTTTATAATTAGAATAGTTGAAATATTAATCGCCTTTTTATAATAGGAAGATCTCTCTCATAATTTCGGTTACTAGAATATTTATAATGAAATAAAATAATTATTGTAATCACTGTTTGCAAAGTTTGTTACGATTGTAGGTATTGAATTCAATGGATCTCGACTGCAAGCGCCACGTTTGTGTCAATGATTTGAAACAAGCGACAGCAATCGATTCTGATATTCTACAAAAAGAACCAGACGTGAAATTAATAGTTCCTATAGGTGTGGTCAATTATTCACCCGCAGAATTTTTCAAACCAAACGAGTACAAAAACTTTTTGGGTAAGTTATCAATATATTTACTGTTCAAACAAATAAACAAAATCATACTTTCTGTACTTTTATTTACTTATTTCTGTACTTGTTGTACTACATTTTGGCTGTTCTATACAGTTGCAAATGTTTTTCATAAAGAAAATAATAAATATTTATTTTGAATGATATCAAACAGTTGCGAGGCGGGATTTGGTGATAACGGGAACGCTGAACAACATAAGTCTCGTTCTTCCACCTTCCCCACCGCTCAGCCAATCGAACGATGTTCCTCGAAACGCAGTTTGCAATAGTGATAACAAGCCGCCCGAATGTAGGTCGGAGGTTTGCTCGTGCACGCACGTCATTAAGGTTCCATTGAACTCTGTGGTAGAAATTATCGTCGTTGATGAGTGTAAGTAATCAAAGTTTTGTTAAATTTCTGGGAACAGCAATTAGTTATGTGATAGCATTTAACTCTTTAGGGCTGGGTGGATCAAAAACTGTCCATCTTTTGCTTAGCTTTTGATGCATGGTGGGATACATTTTAACCCACCTATTATATTATTATATTATATAAGGTGAAGTGAGGTAAATTCGTAAACGCGGCAAGTGCATATACAGACTATTTTTATTACAATATGAGCGAAATTTCTTCATTTAGTATGTTTGTTCCCTTGTTTTGTTTCATTATATCCCCTTTTATATTTCAGCTAAGAGTACTTGTTTGCATATAGAGTACTTGCATAATGCAGTAAAAAGCATTTTATAGCAGATTTGTTAATAATTCTGCTCTTGCCCCATTGCACATGAAGTAAAGTTTCAAAGTATTTAGCTTCAAGTTACGCTCTTACCCCATTTTCGGGGAAAGTGCAGAGTAGTTGACATTTTAAACAATTTCCTATCAAAATCAAAATGTACAAGGAAAATTAAGGTCCTAGTTAGTATTAATTAAATAGTAGTAATTGTGCAAAGCGTTCAATATCGACAGCGTTAAGTATTTACATAGCAGACTGAAAATACTTACGTTTAAATACCAACTTTACAAAAACCAGTCTGAAATTACCCCACTTCACCTTAATGTATAATGTTTATACATTTATTCTATGCAACTAGGTTTTAATTTACTTTAAAATCGGGTGCCTCAAAGTGTTAATAAACATAGACGATATATAATGATTTTGAATGTCGGAATTTATGGAAAATGGGTTGTAAATGAAACTTTGATTCAATTGTTAAAGAAATTTTATTATTAACACTGAATGTAGACTTACTTTATCACTAGGTATACAGAAGTTCGATACAGATGACAATTTAGATGTCACTTATATTTAAATTTGAACTACAATAAAATAGAAAAATAAATAAATTGGGGATATGTGAACTGGTTAAGACATTAATTCTTTAGCTTGATGAAATTTGATATACATTTTTACAAAAAACTCTAAATAAGTTTTGTCATTTAAAATAAAAAATATGTCATTTTAACAGGTTCCGTAAATCTAGTGTTAAAGTCAAAAACGACGTTAAAAAATAAATGGATTAGCGGTAAAACAGAAATTATCATACGCGTTGATTCTTAATCCTGATACAGACAAACATATTTGAAGAGGTTTATTTTAACAAATTTTACAATTTGAAATAGATGCATATTCAATGTATATTTATTGTAATTGTAGTTCGTGCAGGAGACGTGCATCATCCATTCCACTTGCACGGATACACGTTCCATGTGATGGGTATGGATCAACCACTAGGGCCATATACGGACAACACGCGTGCAATGACGGTGAAGTATTATGAACAACTTGAAAGTGAAAATAAAGTTGTAAGAAATTTCCAATCTCCACCTAGTAAAGATACGTATGCTATACCCAATAACGGATATGCGGTACTCAGATTTAAAGCAGACAATCCAGGTATGTGTTCAGTTTAAGAATTAATTCATATTGTACACATAATAGATGCTGTTAGTTGATATTTTGGAGAATTTGTGAACTTGCAAATTAGCAAATTTGGGAAGTTAGTGAATTTAGAATCTTAAATTACCCCACTTCACCTTAATGTATAATGTTTATACATTTATTCTATGCAACTAGGTTTTAATTTACTTTAAAATCGGGTGCCTCAAAGTGTTAATAAACATAGACGATATATAATGATTTTGAATGTCGGAATTTATGGAAAATGGGTTGTAAATGAAACTTTGATTCAATTGTTAAAGAAATTTTATTATTAACACTGAATGTAGACTTACTTTATCACTAGGTATACAGAAGTTCGATACAGATGACAATTTAGATGTCACTTATATTTAAATTTGAACTACAATAAAATAGAAAAATAAATAAATTGGGGATATGTGAACTGGTTAAGACATTAATTCTTTAGCTTGATGAAATTTGATATACATTTTTACAAAAAACTCTAAATAAGTTTTGTCATTTAAAATAAAAAATATGTCATTTTAACAGGTTCCGTAAATCTAGTGTTAAAGTCAAAAACGACGTTAAAAAATAAATGGATTAGCGGTAAAACAGAAATTATCATACGCGTTGATTCTTAATCCTGATACAGACAAACATATTTGAAGAGGTTTATTTTAACAAATTTTACAATTTGAAATAGATGCATATTCAATGTATATTTATTGTAATTGTAGTTCGTGCAGGAGACGTGCATCATCCATTCCACTTGCACGGATACACGTTCCATGTGATGGGTATGGATCAACCACTAGGGCCATATACGGACAACACGCGTGCAATGACGGTGAAGTATTATGAACAACTTGAAAGTGAAAATAAAGTTGTAAGAAATTTCCAATCTCCACCTAGTAAAGATACGTATGCTATACCCAATAACGGATATGCGGTACTCAGATTTAAAGCAGACAATCCAGGTATGTGTTCAGTTTAAGAATTAATTCATATTGTACACATAATAGATGCTGTTAGTTGATATTTTGGAGAATTTGTGAACTTGCAAATTAGCAAATTTGGGAAGTTAGTGAATTTAGAATCTTGCGAAAGAGGAGAAATTTGGCAATTTGAATATTTAGGATTTGGGAGGTTTAGAAATTTGGGAACTTGGTATTTTAGGTCTTTGGAAATTTAGAAATTTGGAAACTTGATAATTTAGGATTTTGGAAATTTTGAAATTTAGGATTTTGAAGATTTAAATTCATATGTGTAAATTTGAAAATTTAAGACTTTAGATATTTTTAGATTTTGTAGATTTAGAATTTTGGGGATTTGGAGATTTAGATATTTGGATTTTTGAACAGTTAGAACTACAGATACGTCGAAGATTTAGAAATGTTTGAATTTCGTGAACATGCCAATTTTTAAATTTCTATATTCAGGTATTTGAACACTTTAAAATTTGAAAACTTAAGAATTTGAAAGTTTGAAAAAAGTAAAATTCTTATTGTTTATTAATTACATCATTATTACATTCTTCAAATTCAAGCTGTCTAATAATAGTAATTAATTTGCATTTGTAATTAAAATTTGTATCATTATAATACTTCCACATACATACAATGTGTATTATAAAAATTCATTAATTTTAATTTATTATTCATTGTAATTCAACCAAAATTTGTTAATTTTATTATAATAATATTACGACTTTTAATAAACCAATCATTTTTAATTTTTAAGGTTTTTGGATGTTCCACTGTCATCAAATGTTCCACATATTGGTAGGAATGGAACTTGTTATACAAGTCGGAGAACCGCAAGATTTCCCAGAGACACCTAGAGATTTCCCAAAATGTGGCAACTACATGCCGAACGTTGCAGTAAGGAATCAAAAGAATAAGAGAACAAAATATATTTAAATTCACAAAAATGTAAATAAATGTAAATGTAAACACAATAAAATTTTGCAGAAACTGATTATGAATATTTGATAAACAAATGCCTGCTTAGTATTATATATCTTGTAATTCAAGTAAAAATCCCTCTTTTCTCAAAAATAAATATTTGCAAAAACTTCTTTGTTTTGACCCGTTTCTAATGGAATATTACATTAAGATTGAAAAAAAAATTGCAAACAGAACTTGCAATTCGATCTACCAAACACCCTGAATGTAAATAACAGACATAAAAGAAGGTTAATATTAAAATATTATTTGTTTATAAAGTCTGTTCCTCCGTATTATAATTTTTGTATACGAAATTCTTTTCTCTGTCCTTAATATTTTGTGCAATGATTGTTACAAGTTAGCGTAATGTATATTTGATTTGTACGTATCAGTCATGAAGAAAGTTATTTAATTCAACATGTAACCGTGTTGGTTCTGTATGTTATGCTTATTTCAATTGTTGCCGTTTGCAAATTTTCGGATGTTGACATTAATTTAACATTAATTTATTTTTGTTAATCTTCATATAACGACAGTGTTTGTACACTTGTGCAGTTTCGGATAAGTTTAAATAAACGTAATGAAATTATATCATTCAAAATTATACCGTTCAATTATTAGCTTTAAGCGTTTTTTCCAGATTCTGTGTTTGGTTTCTTGATAATTTCAGTCTCGAATGAGTAAGAGAAAACAAAGCGCTGTCTGAAAATGGTTTCCAAAGAAAACAATTTTTGGAAAGTCAGAAATTTTTATCGAATGCTGCATGTTTGAAAAAATTCGGAATTTTTTGCACGGTGTAAAGCAAAAAATAAATAGCTAATAACTAGCTAAAATGCTAAAATGCTTCTTCTAATGCAATAAATGCTTCTTCAAATGTGTTAGAAGAAGAACGCCATTTTGTTCCACGTCTAAAAGTATCTCAAGTTCGTTTTACGCTCATACGAGTTTTTATTTTAAAAGAGTTTGTATTTCAATTTATATACTTTTAAAAAAAAGGGGTATCTATGTAATTTTCCATAAATAAATGGCTAGAAAAGTCAAAATACCGTGGATGAACTATAAAATGTACAAACTTTATGTAAGCAAATAAAATTACAATCGCAAAGTCCATCATTGTTCATTATAATATTTTTAAACTTGTTTAAATAAAAACTATTAAATGTTCTATGGTTAATCGTGATGTTTTATGAAGATATCAGACATTGATTGCATTTGAAAATAATTACACAATTAAGCGTTATTGAAGAAAAGTTTTGAAAGAAAACTGTTTCAAGAAGATTGTGGACATAAATCTTCTGTAAGTTGAGATATCTTTTCGATTTTATGACAATCTTCGTTTTTCGAATATGGTTTTCCTTTAGTATATTAAGTGAAGTATATAGTTTATTACTAGCCGAACTTAATATATTAATATTTTTTATATTAATGTATAAAATATAAATGAGTTAATATATTAACGTGTCAATGCTATAATAGGTTATGTACACTTATTTAAAACTCTGCTGCGTGGCTATAATTCATAATAATTACAAGACTCGAGAAATGTTGAAAGAAATTAAGAGATAATAGTGATAACAGAAATATAAATAAATGTTTAATATAAATGTAAGTGTATAATGTAGTGAATAAGTAATATGTAATTACTATAACTAAAATATGTAGTAGTTTATAAATTTAATAATCGTTTAGAATTCAATATATCATTTTAATTGATATAATATTGAATAGGAATTTATATTTTATTTCAGTTTTATAAGAATTTTATTTTATTTAAAGGAGAAATATGTCTGGGCCGAAATTACATTCCAAACATGTGATCCTCATCAATTTTCTATTTAAGAATCGGACTAACATTCTTATTTCTGTTTCATCAATTTTAGTACAAGGAATACGTTACTGTACCTGCTTTTTACATTCATTCAAACTAGAAAATGGAGTTGGATCAACGTGATTTTCAGGTGTATATTTATTGTATTAGGTATAGAATTACTATGAAATATCGTCAAAATAATGAGTCACGAACGAGTTGCAATCGTTGATTTAAGAAATGTAAATGGCGTTTTTCGATTGTGATCCAATATTGTCCTTCTGTAGAATAGCTTGTTGTTCATCGATCCAGGACCGGAAAGATGATACTCTAGTGAACACGTCAGGGTATCCAACAGCGCAAGGATTTCCGAAGGACACGACACCAATTTGTACTCCATCGATAACGAGAGGACCACCAGAATCGCCCTAAAAATTAAAACATGTGTTATAAGATCACATTTCTTCTCTAACATAAGAGTATTCTATATTTTCTCTTTCTTTTATGGAGCTTTGAGATTCCTTTCTAGAATAATGCATAATATTACTATTTCAGTATTACAAAACATTGCAATACTTATAACGAATAGCTGCGCAATACAAAACCCCTATAATAAACTTTCTTTTGTGAAATTAGAATATGTTCATAAAACGTGATAGTAAATTCGCCACACGACTACAATAAAGGCAGTGCTCTCTATCCTTTATTCTACAATTTTATTAACAAATTAACCAGTTAACTGTGGCGATCTTTTTGCAAAGCGCGTACCAGTGTGTGTCGCGATAATCAAGCGATGACGAGTTAGGTCTCAAGAATTTATGAATCCTCTCAAATCATTTACATTTTTTATTTGTTTATTTCATTTCGTGTTGACCTCTAAACATTTTAAACATATTACAATTTACGAATATAATTTAGTTTTCGCCAAAATTAC